TGCACCAGGGTGAGGAGAGACTAGCTGGGACTAGGCACTTTCTCGAGCTGGCGGTGACCGCTGTGAATAAAGCAGTCGGTAACTCAGACAACACGGCTGCCTAGAGATGCGCCACTGTCTGGGGACCCACGCCTGGGCGGGGGCGCCACGTCTGCTACCCAGGCCTCGAGGAAGGGAGGTTCCTGTTCTCTGCGGGTACCAATGGGACACTTATTCCCTCCAAGGCTAGTGATTGCCCAAGAGGGCGGGTCGCCTTTCCCAATCTTTCTCATTTGAATACATGAAAATGCGAGTTGATTTTGGCAGGGCAATGCTAGCTCAGGGCCAGAGAAACGGTTTTGTCGCCCGCGGGCAAGGCTGGGTCCAGAGCAGCTCCGGCTCCGACATCCGGCTGCGGGACAGACGGGCCCGCGCCCCAGGCCGCTCAGAAACCCTGCGGCGGCTCCAGGAGCGGCGAGGAAAAGGACAAACCCAGAGATTAAAAACTGGGATTAAAATATTTCATTAGAATTTTTCCGACATCCGGCTGCGGCCGGGATCCTGAGATTTCTCCGCACGAAACTGCTGGACGAGGCCTGTTGGATGGTCCCAGGGCCAGGGCCCCTTCCTACCTACTGAGGGTCGGACGCCTTGTGAGTTGTGAATTTCTTGATTAATAACATAATGATAGAAGGAAGGGCAGAGAAAGGAAGGTATGAGAAAACAACAACAACAACAAAGTAAAGGAAAAGAAGAGGCCGTGAAGGAACAGGAGCTCGGCGTTTCTCCTCTCCCGGCCCCCAAGTCTTAGGCTGCCGCGCCTCCCGCGTGGCGGGTGGGCGGCTGCAGGCAGGCGCGGGGTCCGCCCTCTCGCGGCGCCCGGGCCCTTTCCCCGGCTCGGACACACACCTCGGTCGGCGCAGGCCAGTCCTGCGCAAGTGCAACAGTTGATTTCAGCGTCCCAGGCCTTCCTCCGTCCTTAACCGGCCCGCGTCCCGGTCCAGGTCGCTTGAACCACGTGAAAGGCAACAAGTCTTAGTTTCATAGCATCACAGCGGTTTAAGCTTCTTATCTGGGTGGCAGGTGGGGGCCGGAGGAGGGGCTCGGACCACCCTGCACCGAGGGTGGCCGGGCCCGCCACCGTCGAGACAGGGCCACAGCCCCCTGGAAGGCGGGAGGTCGGCGGAGATAGGGGACAGGCGAGGGAGAGCCACAGAGGGAAGTCCTCGGGAGGCTCCCGAGGGCACCCCAGAGGCCCGCCGCCCCGGGTTCTGCTCTCTGCCCACCCCACAGTCCTGCTAAACGGGAAAGACCCGGCGCCGCCACAGACAGCGGGCTGGGCCCAAGGCCTGAGGAGCGAGCCTTTTCTCGCCGTCGTCACCCTCTGCTTCTCCCTTGCCCCGGTGAAGATCTGCGGAAGGGGGCCCAGCCAGGTAATACTGGGAAAGGGAAAAGAAGGTGGCCTTGTTCGGCCGGCGAATCTGGTACCGCGCGCCGCCACAGCCACACTGCGCGGGGAGTGGACCCCAAAGGCGGAGGAGGCGCAGCTTCCGGGAAGGGCGGAGCCGCTTCCTCCGCCCAAGGCCACCTGGACGGCCCGCGCACCACCTTCTGACCGCTCCGGCTTCCTCCGCCCGAGGAGCCCGCCTCCCCTCTACCGCGGCCGCCCTGGGCTCGCGTAGACCCATCCTAGCCAGGAGAGTTTGGCCCAGGAGACGCCACGTGGCTGCCCTAGTGGCCCCTAAGCCTCCCCGAGGACTGAACAGGTCCAGTTCCCCGGGGAGGCAGAGCACAGCCTTCTGAAGAACGTAGACAGGGCCTATTTGGCAGAAGAGGTTTGTAACCAACGGGTAAACTGCGGCAACCAGGCATGTCACCTGGCTACCCACTGGCCAGCGGCCCGGAGGCAGCAGCTTTGTTTCATTTATTTGCTTGTTTGCTGTTTATTTTCCAAATCAAAGACCCGGCACGACCCTGACGATTCCCTTTTAAAACTCCGAGGAATGACTGGCTGGCATCTGAGTACCCTAGAACTTCACCTCCTAAATGTGTTAGGTGTCCTGGAACCTCGCCACTGAGGTGAAGGGAGGCCGGGAGCTAACCGAGCTGCCCCTCTCCTTCTTGGCCTCCGGCAGTCAGCTCCCTGAACTAAAATCGCAGGCAAGGGAGGTGTGCGGAGTTCCAGACTGCCCTGACGGCGCTCGCTAGAGGCGCGTGCGGGAGGGCTCTGCGCCCTCCCTTCCTCCCCACACACACCACGGGAGGTGCTGTGAGCCCAGTCATTCCCCGCGGGGCCGCGACCCAGGAACTCCCAAGCTGGATCAAGGCTCTGAAGTTGGCAGAGTCCACTCTTCACCACCAGTCTTGGGCTTTGAAGAAGCCTGGAAAAACTTTACTTTGGACATCCCGCTATAGGCGTTTTTTCTATCCTTAAGTTGACTTTTTTTTTTTTTTTTTAATAGATGAGCTCTAGTAGGTTTAGGAAGTGGGCTAAAAGTGAAAGAATATTTGATGTTTTAATTGACCCCCCCATAAAATGACAGCCCCCCCCCTTTAGGCACCGGCTTTTTGTGTACCATAAAAGCTATTCCTAAATTGTCACTACCCGTAGAAAATACCCTAGTCATGCTCGATGTTTCTGAAGAGCCACGAGGGCGTTGGAGAATCACCGCGGGAAGGAACAAGGAAGCTCATTAGCACTGAAAGTCCCCCCGGATCAGGCCGAGGAAGCTAAGCATCCGTGTATTTTACAAATGGAACCAAGGTCCTGCTCCTGATGGGAACTTTGGACAAAAGAATGAGTTTCTGACGGTGGCTCTGAGAAATCTGTGCAGATCCACACATTTACAGATGCATTTACACAAACTGATGGGACTTGCAGTCACAGGGGCAGGCTGTAGTTGGGGAGGGCGCCTGCTCTGAGTTCCAGGTGGATTTAATTTCACTCTCATTCCATTCCTTGCAATGTGACATTCCCCCCCTTTTGTTAAAAAAAGGAATTGTAATTCAATGCTTTTATCTTTTTTTATTTCCTTAACTGCACATCTTCACCCTCTCGGGCTCCCCTGCTGATTTAAGAGATTTGTTTGGTTCAAGGATTTAACGTGATTCTGTTGCCAGATTTCAAGGAAGAAAGATTTAAAAGAACAAAGTACGGGGGGGGGGGAGGTATCTGAAAGACAAGTTAAAACACATTTCTTAATATGAGATTAATAACATGCTTAAGACTTTGCCAAACAAGAATATTTTGCAGATTTTTAGTCATTTTTGAAAGATTTTATTTTGTTGTTACTTCAGGAAAACTAGTGGGTTCTACCTAGGGTAGGACACACATGTGGTCACCCACACACTTAGATACAGACATGGCCACATTCATTTAGAAGCTCACACACATTCATACTCTCAGAAATAAACACACCATCCCACAACCTATCACCAACTCAGTGCTTATCAATCATTTCAGTTGGTCCTTCTCCAATTAAAGTGATTGTGGGCAATCCACTACCCAGGGCCTCATAGGAGCCAAGAGGCTTTGCTTTGGGGGGAACTTCCCACCAATGTCCAGGACCCATTAGGAACCAAGCAAGCGCCTGGGGTGCTAGCCTGGCCCCTCCAGGTGGGAGATGGGACCAGGCACCGCTGCAAACCATCCGTGGCTTCAACCTGGCACCTCTCTAGCCGAGCAGATGCATTCCCGCGCCTGTGTTCATGCTCTCCCAGTTAACGCGCGCAGTTAGGGAGATGTCCCCTCCCCCTGACCTTTCCCTATCAGAAACCAGACGGTCGCCTCCAGCTCAGTCCCCGGGGCTGCGGAAGGGGGGCAGGAGGAGGAGCTGGGCAGAGGAGGACGGCCCGACTCGGGTGCGCCTGCCCTATCACACAGACATCTGTTCTCAGTCTCTTCCTCTTTATGATCGCTACAGATGACAAGGGAAGTAGAGCGGACCGAGGCGGGGGGGAAAAAAAAGTTATGTCATAAAGATATAAAACGGTGCTGTGACTCACCTGCTCTTAGCCGCAGGTACGGGTTTCGTGGCAGCGTCTCCGCTCTGCTAGCCAGGAGCCCAAATAGGCCTAACGTCACTCGGCTAGGTTGACTCAGATGGCCGAATTTCTAGTGAAGGGGCAAAATTGGGGCTTTCTCCTTTTTCAAGCCTGAAGTCCGGGGAGGGGGATGGTCTGTAGTCTCCAGTCTCCCCGGGTTGAACTTTGGGTCAGTAATCAGTACAGTGGGGGCTGGAAGCGGGCAGAAGAGCAGGAGGGGCACGGGATGGGGCTGCAGCCGGCGGCCCCCAGAAGCCGGTGGGTCCCCCTGGGGAGGGACTCTGGGGTCATTTAGCTGGCCCGGCCCCCCGAGCCGGGGATCCAACGCCACCGCCCCCAGCCCTTCTCCGGCTGCGCGGTTCCTATCCAGAGCCCTCGTTAGCTTGCCCGGCCCCGCCTATTTTTCTTTTTTTCCTCCTCCAAAGGGGGTTACACCCCCCCCATCCCATTTCCCTCTTCCCCCAGGCTCCGGGCTTAAACCAATTACCCTGCTTTGCAAACAAAGTGAGGGCCGGGTTTGAGGGAGGGGGCTCGGCGGGAGGGGGTGCAGGGGGCGCGCAGCGGCGGCGCTGCTGGGCGGGAGGCGCGGCGGCTGGACTGGCGGGCGGCCGCCTCGCAGGTGCACCTCGGGCTTTGTAGGTGCGAGCGTCTTTGTGAAGCGGACAAATGGGGAGAGGACGAGGAGGTGGGCACTCGAGCGACGTAAGATCCACATCAGCTCAACTGCACTCGTCTCGCAGAGGCCGCCCGCTCACTTCCCGCGGAGGCGCTCCCGGGCGCCGCGCTCCGCGGCCGCCGCCTGCCCCCGCCCGCCGCGCAGCCTCCGCCGCGCACGCCGCACCCCGCAGAGCCTGGCTTCCTCCCCGCTAGGGTGGCGTTGGGCTGGCGCGGGCACTCGGGTGACTGCAGCTGCTCGGCTCCCCGCCCCCCGCCCTGCGCCGCGCGGCCGCCCGTCGCTTCGCACAGGGCTGGATGGTTGCATCGGGCAGGGTGGCTCCAGGATGTTAGGGACTGTGAAGATGGAAGGGCATGAGAGCAGCGACTGGAACAGCTACTACGCGGACACACAGGAGGTGAGAGGCGGGCAGCAGGCAGGACGCTCCCGGAACCGGTGCCGGGGGAGGCCCAGAGAGGCGGGCGCCCGGAAGGGTGGCGGGCTGGGGGCGCCTCCTCCGTGCCATCGTTGCGTGCCCACCCGAGGTGTTCCCGACAGGCCTTGGCCCGGCCTTGGAGCCGGATCCGCTGCGCCGCGGGGGAGGCTGGGTGCCGGCGCTCGGCGCTTGGAGCGGGCCAGAGGGTTTCAGGAAACTCTGGGCTTTGAAAGCACCCGCTCTGGAAAGCGTTTACCTCTTCTCTGCGGAGAGCGGGAGCCGGAACCAGGCCCGGAGGGCCGCGGGTTGGCGGACGGGCGCCGGCAAGAGTTGGAGGTAACTCTAGGAAAGACAGAGTTCTCCAGCAGGGCGGCCTCTCCCTCCCACGGTTGAATTCGCAGATGTCTTCAGATGAAAGCGCGCTGCAGTTAAGTTGGGCGTCTTAATAATGAATCGATTCCGAAATTCTATAAAACTTCTTTAAAAGCCCTGTTTGGGGAGAAGTGTGCTCTTTCTACTCTAGAGCCGCTGGGTGGCGCTGGTGCGAACTGACTTTTCCTCCAGCACCCCGAACTGAGAACCTGTTTCTCTTCATTGTCCCCTTCCTTGGTAGCACGTTCATGTGGTTTATTTTACAATGTGCACAAAGGGATTGTGAGGAAAACCAGGTACAGGCGGGACCACCACCTACTAAAAGTATTTCTCTGGAAACAGCTGGCAATTACCCCCCAAAAGTTCACCATTATTAAAAACGGTTATTGAAATCGCCTTCGATAATGTTGGGGAGAGGAAAAGAAAAAAAAAAAAAAACGAAAGTAAAAAATAATTTAAGGCATGGACAGAAAAATATAGAATCAGGAAATATTTTGATGGTAATTTATTTAGATTTGTATATTTATATATTCATAAACTTAGCTTGAGTTTATTTGCATACCATAGCAGAGTGTGCCTAGTTAACTTTGTACACCTTTTATTTTTTCAAATGAAATTGTATCTGCTGATGAAAAAAATTCAAGGACATTATTTTTATTAAATTATCAGAGACGTTTTATATTTCTGTTTTTAACATATATAGTGCATTCCCAAATTGCTATTGATAAGGGTTTCGCCTACTGATAATTTTAAAATGAGCTTAGAACTCTTCCTCGGGTTTAATTCAGATGCAGACATCTCGACCGCCTAGTTAATGAAGTTCCCTACAGAAAGAACTTCCTTATAGATTAAAGCTGAGAATTGGGAAATAGAATAGCGTTAAAAGAAAATAAGTAGACTTTGATTTTAGAAATTTAAAGGGGATTTTAAAGCCAAGCTTTGAAATAATCCACGGCAACATATCAGTATGGGAAAACAAAATAGATTATTTTGACAAATTTTGTCACCAAAATTTCCCAAATGTTATGGGGCTGGAAATAGGTAACGAAATTAGTGCAACTTTTTGAATGGTTTAAAGAGATGTACATGTAAAGTCAAGTGAAAGTTAAGTGTAGTGCATTGATATTATGCACTCCCTCCTGCCCCCTCTCCTCTTGTATCTATTTTTAATTTTTTTCCAAAACTTACTAAACGTCTGCGTTTCTTTCCCTTTTAATATTACAGTTGCTACAAGTAGATGGAAAACACTCCCTCTAAACATAATAACAAAAAGTCACCATTTGGGGAAAACTGCTAAGGCGGTAAAGCCAGTTGTTGAGAAATGGATGGTCATATGGCCATGAATGATTAGTTCTATCAGGGAGGGTTTAATTAACAGCCACCCCACACAGCCCAGGCTACTATGTGGTCAGCCGGGCCTGGCCGGCTTAGGCGAGATAGGCACAGAGCTGGTGTTCTGTTGTCCACCCCCGGGGGGCTACGCCGCCGAACGCACCGCACCCCCTAAGGTGGGGTGAATTAGCAGAGTCAGAGAATAATTCTGTTTTCGGAGTTTAACTCCATTTAACCAAAAGGGCTTTGCTGAGGCCGGTCTGGGGTGGAGACTGGGATACCAACTGGCGTGGATGCAGAAGGCGATGGAGGGGCCCTAGAAGTCGGCCCCTGAGCCTGGCATGTAAGGCGATTACACATCTTCCTGGGGACATATTTTCTGTGAGCGCTGGTCTTTCATGCCTGCCGCGCTAAGATTTTTCCCCTGCTGCGCAAGACATTTCTTTGCTCTTTCTGGGGAGGGCGCCTGACGGTTTGCCCCGGGTGGGGGGTCCTATGCTTTGCAGAAATGCTCTCTGCACGTCTCCGGGTTGGCCCCCGGCGCTAGGCCGCCGGCTCCCACTACTAACCCCGCCCTTCGGGGCCTCTTCCCTCGCTGTCTCCGCTCCAGGCCTACTCCTCGGTGCCCGTCAGCAACATGAACTCGGGCCTGGGCTCTATGAACTCCATGAACAGCTACATGACCATGAACACCATGACCACGAGCGGCAACATGACCCCAGCTTCGTTCAACATGTCCTACGCAAACCCGGGCCTGGGCGCCGGCCTGAGTCCGGGCGCCGTGGCTGGCATGCCGGGCGGCTCCGCGGGCGCCATGAACAGCATGACGGCGGCGGGCGTGACGGCCATGGGGACGACGCTGAGCCCGGGCGGCATGGGCGCCATGGGCGCGCAGCCCGCGGCCTCCATGAACGGCCTGGGCCCCTACGCGGCTGCCATGAACCCGTGCATGAGCCCCATGGCGTACGCGCCGTCCAACCTGGGCCGCAGCCGGGCGGGGGCCGGCGGCGACGCCAAGACTTTCAAGCGCAGCTACCCGCACGCTAAGCCGCCCTACTCGTACATCTCCCTCATCACCATGGCCATCCAGCAGGCGCCCAGCAAGATGCTCACGCTCAGCGAGATCTACCAGTGGATCATGGACCTCTTCCCTTATTACCGGCAGAATCAGCAACGGTGGCAGAACTCCATCCGGCACTCGCTCTCCTTCAACGACTGCTTCGTCAAGGTGGCGCGCTCCCCGGACAAGCCGGGCAAGGGCTCCTACTGGACGCTGCACCCGGACTCCGGCAACATGTTTGAGAACGGTTGTTACTTGCGCCGCCAGAAGCGCTTCAAGTGTGAGAAGCAGCCGGGGGCCGGGGGCGGAAGCGGGAGCGGGGGCGGCGGCGGCGGCGGCGGCGCCAAGGGCGGTCCTGAGAGCCGCAAGGACCCCTCAAGCGCCGCCAACCCCACTGCCAACTCGCCCCTTCATCGGGGCGTGCACGGTAAGGCAGGCCAGCTAGAGGGCGCGCCGGCCCCCGGGCCGGCTGCCAGCCCCCAGACTCTGGACCACAGCGGGGCGACGGCGACAGGGGGCGCCTCGGAGTTGAAGACGCCATCCTCCTCGGCTGCGCCCCCGATCAGCTCCGGGCCCGGGGCCCTGGTCTCTGTGCCCCCCTCCCACCCGGCGCATGGCCTGGCCCCGCACGAGTCCCAGCTGCACCTGAAAGGGGACCCCCATTACTCTTTCAACCATCCCTTCTCCATCAACAACCTCATGTCCTCCTCGGAGCAGCAGCACAAGCTGGACTTCAAGGCGTACGAGCAGGCGCTACAGTACTCGCCCTATGGCGCTGCGTTGCCCGCCAGCCTGCCCCTCGGCAGCGCCTCGGTGGCCACCAGGAGCCCCATCGAGCCCTCAGCCCTGGAGCCGGCCTACTACCAAGGTGTGTATTCCAGGCCCGTCCTAAACACTTCCTAGCTCCCTGGGACTGGGGGTTTGTCTGGCATGGCCATGCTGGTAGCGAGAGAGAGAGAGAGAGAGAGAGAGAGAGAGAGAGAGAGAAATCAACAGCAAACAAAAACCACACATACCAAGCCGACAACAGCATAATGAAATCCCAGCTATTTTTATTTCATTTTGTGTGTGTGTGCACAATCTTTTCCCCAGTGCAAAGGACTGTTACTCTGTTATTGTATTCGAAATGCCTTGTGTATATTATTACAAAGAAAACCAGTCCCAAACCAACACAGTTTTTTCCTGCAATGTTTAACAATCCACAAATGTATATATAAAATCCTCCTACTTCCTTATTCCTCTCCCTTTCTTCCCTCTTTCCCCTCCAGACACCGTTCTAGTCTGCGCAGGGTTTATTTAAAAAGAAAGAAAGAAAGATGGTCAAACTTGTAAAATATTTGTTTGTGCTTCCCCCCACCCCCACCCCCACCACCTGACCCTCCACAAGTTTACAGGTCTGTGGCAATACTCTTAACCATAAGAACTGAAAGGGTGAAGAAACAAGTAGACACTAGGGGCTATTAAAAGTATTGGAAGGACAATACTGCTGTTATGCAGCAAAACATAAATTGATTATAAACATCAGAGCCATTATTCAGCTTCCATTTCTGATACATTCAGATAGCTGATGTCTTAAAATGAAATACACATATATTATGTACGAACTTATTTATGCACATGCTCAAATATGTAGACATCCTCCATATATTTGCATAACATGTAGAAATAATAGGTGGTATACATGGTACATTTTCAAGAGTTGCCTGACCAAGAAGTTACAAAGACACCCTCCTCCCTTGTCCTCTCCACTCACATATAGCCCTGAGAATCAATTCCTCAAGAATTGCCATCCTCAATAACTCTGCTCCTTGCTTTGCAGAGTACCATTGTCATGTCATTCTGAGGTCACATAACATGTACAAAAGTAGCTTCTATGTATCTGTACCATTTAAATAATATTTTTTTTCCAGGAAAAAGGGAATATTACAATGTTGGAGGAGAGATAGGTTATAGGCAGTGGTATTTCAAAATTTGGTCCAAAATTCCAAAATCCAACTGATTGTGGCCATTTCAATTATTGCCATCGTGTGCTTGTTGAATTCAGTGTTAATGCACTTTTCACAGTTGGACATGGTGTTAGTATAGCCAGACGGGTTTCATTATTCTTCTTTGCTTTCTCAATGTTAATTTATTGCATGGTTTATTCCTTTTTTTTTTCTTTATCGTTGAAATTGCTTTAAATGATGGTTAAAATTACAAATTAAAAATGTTAATTTTATCAATGTGATTGTAATTAAAATATTTTGATTTAAATAACGAAAATGATAAATTTTAAACTGTGGAATATGTTCTTGATCATTTGCAGTTAAGGACTTTAAATAAATCAAATGTTAACAAAAAAGTATATCTGTTATTTTCCTCAATTAAATCCAAAATAGGTATTCTGAAAATGATATTTTCCAAAGTCCGGTACTGAATATAAATAACAAAAAGGGAAAATGATATAAAACAAAATTGTTTTGTTTGTTTATTATCTGAACATGAAGCTAGTAAAAAACAGTTAAAGAAATTCAATAAAAGTGGGTAGATAAATTGATTTAATATCCCAAGAATTGAGATTTTTAAGAGTATTTATTCCCAGTAATGTTTAATTTTTGACATGAGCTTAAGCCTCCTCTGTTTCCTTTGAGTCTGTCCACAATGAAATCAAATTCATTAATATAACTACATTTCCCCCTGCCCCAATGTCTAATACTCCTTTATCTGAGAAGTATTCTAGTGAGAATAAAATATCAGATGTGGCTGATAAAATTAAGTTGTCTACAACAGAGAATCCTGAACTTTTTTTTTTTTTTCATTGAAAGAGAAACAAAACTTAACCATCATGGTAGCTCTGGAGGGGGCTGGGGGAGTCGAGTTAAATCTCTCCTGCCGGGGAAGATTTGTGCCACCAGGACATTTCGGGGTAGCTGCTATTTTGTATTTTGTGAAGATATTTTTAAAAAATACTGTTTCTAAAAATATCATTCCTGAGAACTTAAAGCTGATGATTTGTTTGCCTTCTAAGAAGCTTTTAAATGCAACTTCACACCCCTACAGTTGCTTGAGATCACAAAATCATTAATCTCCTTTGATAGTAGGCTCACTTTCCAGTCCACCTATTTCTTTGTAAGTCTTGTTCGGATTGACATCAACAATAACAACACCAGCCCAAGCAGAGGCTAGCCTGCCTGAGCCCTTGTGTATGAACTCCATCCTCGCCGGGGCTTGAACTTGGACAGCCTTTACTTTGATCGCCCCACTCCACAGTGCGGACAAGATAAAAAGAGCTGTGTGAGTCCCTTAATTATCGCGTAATTGCCTCCCCAGATGAGGGAAGGGGTGGCATGTAGCACTTGAGAAAAATCCAGAAATCCCATCCTCGCCCCCCCCCCCCCCGCCCCACTTCAGCTAGTGAAAGGAGGAGAGGGAAATAACTGGTTTGAGTAATTTCAAAATCTAATTTGGAGGCCTTTCGGAAGGACATTAAAGTCCCAAAGAGAGGAAAAAGCTTTCAATCTCAATAGTTATTTATATGTATATGGCGGGTAAACAAACGCGTTGGCAAATTTGAATTCCAAATGTAACTTCAGGCCGTAAGTTTGGGCCGAGGAATTGTACCAGGCCCACCGAGTCTAAATCGTCTAACTTTCGTGCCTTCCCCTCGGTGATGTTCCCTTTCCTCTCTAACATACGAGCAGTATCAATGTCTTGCCTTCACCCACCAGGCTTAAGTTGGCCTCAGCTCTCGCTCTCTTACTTGGCAGAGACTTTTTCTGGCCTTGCGGGGGGCGAGGCGCCGCAGGCTGCTGGCAGAGGCCACTCTGGAAACCTGCCTGAGGAGTTAGCATGGTGGGTCGCGGGGAGCTGGTTTGGTGGGCTTCTCGCGCGCTTTCCTGCCGCCTCTGAGCAGCGAAGCACCTCCCGGCACCTTGCGCGCCTTCTGCCGCGTCTGGGCGCCCCGCGCCCCGCGCGTTGGGAAGGGCGCGCGGATTGGGGCCGCGGCGGGCGGTTGCCAGGGAAGAGGGCCAGAGCAGGACCGCAGGCATCTCGGGGTGACAAGTGCAGTTAGTTCTTTATTGTTTGGGCATTTTCCCCTCCGAGCGAATAAATCTTCTGTCGAGCCCGAGACCTAAAAGTCAACAAAGAAGGCCAGGCGTCGCTTTACCGCTCCTGCGGCCCCAACGCCCGCGTTGCCGCGGCTGCTCCCGCTGCGTAATCCCTTCCTCGGAAACCGGGACCCACAAACGCCGGAACGCCCGGGACTGGGGCGCCGCGCCCCGGGGCCAGGAGGGAAACATCTGTGGTTCCGAGGGGGTGTGCGACGACCCTCGTCGAGCGCGCCGCCTTCCCTGACCCCCGCCCACCCCCGCTTTCGTCGCCGAATTTCTGTATTTCTTCACCTCGGACACTCGCTCCTGCCGACGAGGGCGGAAAGGGGATGCTGACCGCCGAGCTCGCTTGATGGAAGAATTTCCCTCGAGGTGGGGGAGGGGTCTCCGGATGGGGAGGGAGGGAGTGAGAAGAAAAAAACCTTCCTGCAGACCGTCTAGTTGCAACGCTTCCGAGGCTCTCCGCTCGAGGGACGACGCCACCACCGAGCACTTTGAGGAAAAAAAGAAAAAAAGAAAAATCTTTTGGGAGGGAATACTGTCCTGGGGAAGAGAACTTCAAATGTTAACTTTCACCTTGTTCCGGGCCTGACACGTTTTTTTAAATTGATAAAAAGAGAAGACAACTAAACACAGCTAGGGGGAAAGCTCACCAGAAACTACACAACTTAGAAGTGTTCCCAAGTAGAAGGCAGCTCGGTCTGTTTTCTACAGGATGGCTATTACAGTGTTTACGTCACAGATAAAATTTAATCTCCATTGTCCCTTCGTGAACTCCCTATAGCAGAATAAACTGGTGAGCATTATTAAGGGAGGAGGGATTAAACAAACAAAATCCTATTAATGTTCTTAACTTCTGTTTCATTTTCTGAAGCCTGGAATACTCGACTGATTTCACTGAAAGTGTAAAAAAACATTACTTTTCTCAGGAGTCTAACAGATTCGAATGAGCCATAGCAGAAAAGAATTCCTGGAGTGATAAAATTTAAAAATCTTGTTGTTTTAGCACTTTAAAAAATTGATCTCAATTCCATAAAAATGCTTATTAAGTTTCTTTGCAAAAATTTTCTGTGATCAATACAAATTCCTTTCAATGCAGACCAAAGTAGGAGACCTGTAGCCCAAATTAATTAACCTTTCCTCAAGATCAATTGGTTTTCTGTTGATTTAGCAGTAATATTGTAGAACATTTAGCTATAATGTATTTTAATGTGATACCTCGATATGTCAAGAGGAAACACTCATTGAAAAGATAAAATTGCTTAACTTAGGTGTTTCATAAATTTATAAAAATATTTTATTTTCAAAAATCAAATCTTAATTGCTTATTTGGATTGTAGTAAAATGTGTTTTGCAACTAAATGGACTTAAGATAATGTCTAATTAGTTCAAGATAATTATGTGCAAAAGTTGATTGATTATTTGTGAGCTACCTGGGGCTAAATAGGTCATTAAATTATGCTGAAATTTAGAAATAAGATTTTCTCAAACAAAATCACTAACATCAATAGAAACTCCTGAGAGTAAGAATGTAATAAAATGAAACAACTTGAAAGATTTTACAACCTTCCCATTTGGAAATAGAATCTGGAGAGATAAAAGGTTTTTGTTTTTGTTTTTGTTTTTAAAGCAGCCGTTTCTGCAAGTTTTATTTCCTACCACTGATCCTATTTGGTGTATCCAAATAACATTTAATAACAGATTACTTTCAATGTTCTGGGTTTTTTTCTTCCAAATAGTTACGTTTAAGACTATAATTGGTGTTTCTCTTTTAGCTCCCAGTCTAGCTCGGTTCATTGAACTTTGGACAGCTCAGACTGCAGCCCTCACCTTCCCACTGCCCCCTCCAGTCATCATTCTAGCAAGCA